ATTAAAATGTCTCCCCTGTAATTTAAAGGGGAATAAATGAAGTAATTTATAATAAAATAACATTTTGATGTGCAAGTTGTCAATGACTATACTAGAAAACATAATGAGTAGTCAAATCCAGGTATATGATTAAGCCTACCTCCAAAAACTAATATATCATCATTTTGAATGGACACCACATCCAGTTTAATCCAGAAACCAACTTAGATGCACACTGTGATCTGGGATACTCCTCTTCTGTTGTTGCAGACCCTGAGAGGGCTTTCTAAGTTCTGTTCTAGTTTTATCCCAGATGGCTGTTGTCAGTCACTGTTTGTTAGGAGAATTGTTTAAACTTGAGCACTGGCCTAGGTCCTATGACCAAGGCTAAGAAACCCTGCAATCGTACCCACCAGAGCTATTATATATTTGCCCAGAATAAAATTCCAGAAGCAAAACAGAGTAATAAGTGTTCTAGCCAATGAAAAACATGAGTGCCAGAGATGAGGATAGATAAATGCAGAAACTAGATTCAAGTTCTGCCACGTGCTATGGACTGTGCTGGTCACTAGGGTTACTATGGTGATTAAGTGTTCAAAAGACAGAAAATACGGCCAGGCGCGATGATTCATGCCTGTAATCTAGCACTCTGGGAGGCTGAGGCAGGAGGATCGCTTGAGATCAGGACTTTGAGACCAGCCTGAGCCAGAGGGATACCCTGTCTCTACTAAAAAAAGAAAAGAAAAAATTAGCTGGGCACAGTGACATGCAACTGTAGTCCCAGCTACTCGGGCGGCTGAGGCAGGAAGATTGCTTGAGCCCAGGAGTTTGAGGTTGCAGTGAGCTCTGATGATGGCACTGTACTCCAGCCTGGGCCACAGAGCAAGACTCTGTCTCTAAAAATAAAAAAGACAGAAAATATAACTGGACAGTGTGAGTAGTTATTCATTCTACAATCATTGATTGAGCACCTGTTTTTCAGGCACTGTGCTAGGGCTAGAGAGTCACAGACAGCCATGCTCTCTTCTCCTCAGGGAGCATGTATTCTAGTGGAGAAGACAGACAAAGTGAGTCAGACAAGCAAAGGTCAGTTGTCGTAAGTGTTATGAAGTAAACAAAAATAGACTCAAATCAAGAGTAACAGGAGAGGGACTTACTTTAGATAGGGTGAATTGGGAAGCCTTTTCTGAGAACAGTGATATTGAAGCTAACACCTAAAATACGAGAAGCCAGCCATGTGAAGAGAGGGTTTAAGAGCTCCCTAAGCAGAACGAATAGCATGTGCAAAGACCTTGTAGAAGGGAAAAGTTTGCTTTTTTGGAAAAAGAGAAAGAAGGCCAGTGTGACTGGAATCCACCCAATGAGATGGAGAGGGTTAGAGATGTTAGAGGGGTGAGAGAGTCCAGCCATGGAGGCCCATGGTAGAGGGCGTTTAGATTTAATTCTACATGCAAAGCAAGGGAATGACATGAGTTAGATTTTAGGAAGATCACTGGGAGGAGAATGGGTTAGAGGTGAAGAATGTGCAGAGTGCTTTGGGAATGCTGTAGAGAGAATGTACAACTTCGCATTGGAGGGATTAAAGGGTTCAAAGAAGTGACATTTAAATTGGGTCTTGAATGAGAAATATGAATGGGATGTGAGAAATATGAACTGGGCAACGAGAGGACCAGCCAGCCAGAGGCAATGGCAGGAACGAAGGTGGGAGGTATGTGGCCCACACTGGGAAGGCTGCAGAAGTGGTATAGCAGTGGTTCTCATATCAGATCCTACATTCCCTTTACTGTTCTGAAATGCAGTTTGTAGGTGACATAATTACCTTCACACATAAGGTAATTCATTTTTTTTAAACTGCTAAAATTCCCAAGCCATAAAATATGGGATAATTTAAACAATTATGTATTTTTAATATGTAAATATTCAAGCACAACTACATGAGAAGACATAACTGATCAGATGCTTGCATCTGTAGGAAAATGTTCAATTTAAAAGAATTAAGACAAAATTCCATTGAATATTTCTAACATATTTAACATTTGGAGATAAGGTCTAAATAAGTATATTTGTGTATATATTAATACATGTAGAGTCACCATAATGCCAATAAAAGTTCAGGCTGATACGAGTGTGTATAATGCTGACCCAAATGTCATGAGTTTCAGTGCGTTCTGTGACTTAATTTTTCCAAATGGTGGACATTTTGGTAAAGCTGCAAGATATGTCTTGGGAAAGCTGTGAAAACACGAAGTACAATCCTCCCTTGACTTAATAATTATGTTTCTAGAAATTTCAATATATATTAAAGCCATGCAAAAAATCCTTTGGTGATATGTGAAATAGCGTTCTAGTCTCAGATAACTCAGGACAGATTTTTCAGCATTGTGAAAATTATGCAAGATTCAAGACCTTTCTTTGTTGTGTTGAGCTGCATCCCTGGCCTCCATCCACTTAATACCTGTAGAATCCCTACTTATTATTTGTGACAACCAAAATGCCTCCACATTTTTTTTTACGGTGCTATCAAGAGGACAGTGTTGCCCCTTAGTTTCTGCATATGTAAAATGGACATACCTACCTTCAATCTCATAAGGATTAAATGAGATACTACGTATAAAATGTTAGGGTCAGGGCCTGGTCAACTGTAAGGATTCAATAACCAAGTAGAGATAACTTGTTAGCAGTTGAAAATACACATTTAGCCATGAATAGGAGAGAGGTTAGGACTGGAGATGAAGGCTCAGGAGTGAGTCATGTAAACATTGTGAACCATCAGGCAAAACCCAACAAGATTAAATGGGAGAGGAATGAATGTAAGGTCCCAGGGCTATTTCCTAAAACTTACTTACAAGGCAAGGCTGAAGAGACATGCTAGGCAACAGTCTGTAAGAAAAAGAGGGAGGCCTAATATTAGCCTTGGTATAATTCACTTGCTTAAAAATAAAGTGCTGCCTGACAGTGCATTAGTGTGATGTCCCAGTCATGGAATGTTGCAATCCCATGGATACAAGCTTCTGTGGAGACTGTTCCTGGGGTTCCCAGCCAATTTGCAGCTGAAGTTTAGATCACCATCTGATCTAACCATTCCAAAATATTAATAATTTTGCTTTTTAAGTCATTACTGTGCCAGACAAGAGGTCAGGGAAGCCTCTCCTCAGTTTCTTACACAGTAACACCCTCCCACCTCCAACCCCTGTAGAAAAATCTTCCGGCTGGGATTCTTTCTGAAACAGGGCTCTAGAACAGAGTTTTTCACTTGGGGTCAGTCTGTCAGCTCCTTGAAAGTATATGTGAAACTTTGTGTGTGTGTGCATTTCTGTGAGGAGAGGGGCATTGGCATTTATTAGATTCCCAAAGAGATGTATCTTTAAGAATCACTTAAACCCTTTTCTTTGTAGCCGAGGCAAATCTTCCTTTTTTCCTTTTAATACTGAATGTCTTTGAGCTTCCTTGAGTTAAATTCTTCAGACTGAGGTGTGGTAAATTGTATTTCCAACACCCAGCATCATACCAGGTAAATAGCAGATGCTCAAAAATGTTGTTGCCCTGAACTAATTACCCATGATAAGTGAGCAGAGTCTTCCTTCCCTCCCAAGCAGCCAAAATATTTCCAAGCTCTGGCCCTGAGCCAAGTACTATGTTGGGTATTGAGAATACAGAGGTAAGCTCCCTGCATGGAGCTTATGGGCTGTATCCAGAGGAAACATGACTTTTGCCATCTTCTGGAACTGCTGCATGTGAGCCATTTGCATTACAATGATGCTGACCCTGCAAAAACGCCCTCTTCTATGACAGACATTAGTTATGTGCACGTATCCGGCTATTTTCATCACTCAAAACAAATGTGAAAATGCTTTCTAGTCTTCCTCAAAACCATCCATTAAATGTCTTTTTAAAGTCCTCTTTCTCTTTGAATACAGCTGTTAATGGTTTGCCTCTAAAAATAGAAAATTTAGATTGCAGATAGTGATAAAAGCAGTGTCAGCATTTAAGACCGTGGTCTGCACATAGAAGTGGGTTTTTTTGGTTTTGTTTTTTAAAACTCAAAGGAAAAATTCATGATTAAAATAAAAATAAAGCAAACCCTTCATGCCTGCTTCACTAGGATGTTCTTTTTCTTTTCTAGTTTATAAATATTTTTAATCCCATGGATTTGGGTTTACGTCTGACCCTGTTTTTCTGTGCTGCAAGTGCGCTATTGGCTTATACGTATAGGCTTTTCCCAGGAGTTAACTTAGGCAGAGTCTGTCCCCAGAGCCAGGCATGAGGAGAGTCCAAGTCCAGAGCACTATGCTGTCTCTGTTCTAAAATTCATTGCATTTAAGGAATTTATGACTTTGGTGAGTAATAGCAAAGTTCATCTATGGATATGTATTTGAAAAGATAGTGTGACACCCCCACCTGGAAACTCATCTGATTAGTAGGCATAAGCTAAGGCTCCAGCACTGATAGTTTTAAATAACTCCGCTAACCTAGGAGAAAGCTTCTTTTATTTAGTCACTGAAGTATAAAAAGTTAATAAGTTGCTTGTGCCCACAAATACCTACACTGCAGAGGGAATGTGGCTTTCTGACTTCCTAAGTCAAGTTTCAGAGATATTTGAAATAATGCTGTTTCCGTTGTATTCAGTGTTCCCACTGCCTGAAACAGTGTTCCCCTAGATACTTGCATAATTATGTCTATTGTTTATTGTCTTTGTCCAGCCTTTAAAACGTAAGCTTAATCTGGGTGGGCATTTTTGCCTTTTTTGTTCGTAGATTCATCACGAGCTACCAGAACAGTGCCTGGCATGTTGTAGTCAGTAAATATTTGTTGAATGAGTACTATTACTGAGGTTACTCAGACACCTAATTGGCTAAAAAGACTTCTTGAACTTCTCTGGAAACCTAACCTCGTCATCTGTAGCATTATTTAATGAGAGAATATTGCAAGTGCCAGAAAACAGATGTGCAAATGAAAAGGTGCAACACTGGTGCAGAGGAGTTGGTTGGTTCTTGATGGACTGTAACTTTATTTCAAACCAGGATGTGAAATGGTCTGACTTTGGGTTTCCTGGAAGAAATGGACAAGAAAGTACATTGTGGATTGGCTCCCTGGGATCCCATACACCCTGTCATCTGGACTCCTACGGTTGCAATTTAGTATTCCAGGTACAAGGAAGGTAATGTGCGTGGGGGTGGGGGTGGGGGTGGAGAGAACAGGAACAGGAATGAGTGCTGGGTAGGCAGCAGGACCCCAAGACTTGGTCCCAGCCCCATCCTGTCAGCCTGCCTCATGACCAGAGCAGACCTCTTAACCTCTAGTTCTGGTTCCTCCTTGTGAAGTGAAAACAGTTGAAATGGTGGTTTCCATGTGTGTCTCTCAGCCGTGATCAGGATTGTCTGCGGAGAGCTGATCCTAGAACTCTGGGATTCCACTCCCGGTTTAGCTAGACAGCACTCTGTTTAGTTTTTTTGTTTATTTGTTTGTTTACATTTGTAGTTGCCAAACTTTTATTTAAAAGCAGGAACACTCTTTCTTCAAATCTAAATAAATAAGAGCAGAGCAGTATGTTGAAAGAAAGAGGCTTTGCTATTATCGTCAATCCCCTGAAGGGATGGCAGGGAGCCTGGTTTGAAAGATACTGGATCCTTTCAACTCTAAATTTTAGTTTGTTCGTACCTGTAGACACAATACAGGATATCGTTACCTTAGGCTAATTTTTATTAATATCTCCATCTCCCTATGGACCATAAGAGATATAAGGGCTAAGTCAGGTAATGCGTTTGATATACCTGGTTTCTAGAGTCATGTGAGAGAGTCTAAGTGTTTGTGCCACTTGGAGGATATACTCAGATATATGTGCAGACTTATTTTCTCCTAATTCATGGTGCCCCAGTCTTCTCTCCTGGCAGTTTGGGACATTTACAGGGCAGTACAGATGGAAAAACAGAAATGGCAATGTGTAAGTTCTCAGACCCATTAAACGTGAAAAGGATTATGAGTGGATTTAAAAGAAACAATCACTATGTCTGTCAATACATTTCACATGTGAAGAACTCTGAAAATTACAGAATGGTAAAAGATAGCCTAATCTTTGATTCATCCAGTCTTTATTAAAGGGCTTAGAATGTTTCAGGTACATTGCTACATGCTGTGAGTGCAACAGTGAATCAAATGTGCTTGGTCTCTGCCCTTGTGGAGTTGATAGTGTGATAATTTCACCTTGCTAAGAGAGGCATCATTTTAAGTAGCTGCTTTCCATGTATTCTGAATTGGGAAATAAGCCAAAGAAATCCAAGATGGAAAAACATTAAAAAAAACCACCCCAAGTTCTTTCTATGATACAAAGTTAATATAGTTTTTAACTTTGTTAATAGAACGTATTTTCTGGCCTCCTATAACTCTGGAGTAATAAAATAACTTCAGTAAATAATTATCCACTGAGTATCCTTCTGTGTAGGTACCATGTGTTATAGTAGGTAAAGGGATGAATGAGTAAGATACTTTGTCTACCCTGAGAGATCTTACAGCTAGAGTGCAGGCAAGCCCACAGATAGCTGTGATATAAGGCAGAATGTACACGCTCTAGTCTAGAGGAATGTTTCACAGAGCTCTGGAACTAAAAAGCAGAAGATGGTGTTCCTGTTGGAAAGATTAGGGAAGATTTCATAGAGGAGCTGCCATTTGTGGTGGGCTTTGAAGGATGGATAAGTGTTCAAAGACACAGATGGGAGGAGCAGAGGGACCCTGGGAAAGTATGGGGTGTGTATAGGACCCTGTGAGCTGTCCAGTATATTTTGCACTGGAGACAGAGGGATTGGGCTGGAAAGGCAGCTTAGAGCCTGAGGGTCTGGCCTCCCAGGCAAACACTGCTTGGTCTCTGTTTTTTCAGCATGCAGAACCATGAAAGGTTTTTTGAGCAGGGGATGACATGATGATTCAGTACCTTTTCTGAAAGAAGGATGTATATATTACATTTCAAGCCAAGCAAAGCAGATTGGATGGATGGTTATCATTATGGCGATTCCTTTGGGAAATACTGCTGTGGTGCACAGGAAGGATTTGGGATCTGGAGAATCCAGAAGATCTGCGACCTAGTTCTGGTTCTGCCACTAACCACTAGCCAGTGAGTGACACAGAGCAAAGCACCAGGTCTCTCGGCAACTACTTTGAAAATGAAATTATAATAGATTGACGATCTCTTCAGAGCCCTTCCGGCTGTAACATTCTAAGCATACTCAATATCGGAAACAGCTCCCACACACGTCACAGATACAGCGGAATGGAGCAGTTTTATCATCTCAGAGCTTTCAGATGAGGCAAACAGGTTTTGAACTTCAATGGTTTTTAAACTGATGGCTATGGAAATGGATAAGCTGCCTTTATAGCTCCAAAATGACTTTCTGAAAAGTAAAGCATTTCATTATACCTGTAAAACCTTCAAATTTCCAAAGCAAAATAAGACTACAGTATACACTTCTTAGTTTGAAAACAGAAGCCACTGCTTCCCAGTTCGGTCTTCATAGCCCCAGTGTAACAACGGCAGGGGGTCGCTAGAGGACTTCAGGGCTTCTTTTCTCAGAACCAGATTTTCCCTCTTTTTCTCTCTGCTTCCTCATCTGTGTATTTCTGTCTTTTTGTCTTCTTTTCTCACAATTCTCCCCTTTTTGCCTCAGATGTCGTCCCTCTATTGGCATAAAGTATGGGTGTGTCTAGTGTTTTGTGAGTTAAGATTTATTACCTCCATTTTTCAGAAATGTTTTAAGTGAAACATTTTACAGTTTTCTCTTTTTGAAAATTCCTGTATTATACTACTTTTTAGTTATGTGGCATTATTTGTGTATATCTCTTCCTTAAGGGGTTAATGTAACAAATGTTTAACTTAGGAATTTGCAGCCAAAACCGAGAGCAATCTGGAAACATTTGGTGGGTGGAACTATGGGTTTTTGCTCTGGATAAGATAAGAAAACAGATATTTGAAAGTGGGGGTTATCCTGGGTAGCTCTAGAGTCAGGGATAGAAATGATTTGTGAGGAGGCAGACTCTGATTTGCAATGAGAAGGAATGATCTTACACACTAGATCCTGTCTTAGCAACAAAAGGGGCTGCCGCAGGAGGTCATGAGATATTCACTAGTCGTGGCTCTGCCTTCTGCCAGGTGTCTGCAGAGGGGATTCTAACCTTGAGTGACAGGCCAGGTGACCATTGAGATGGTACCTGTATTCCCTTAGGATTGAATTTAAATTAGTAAAGATGAACACTTAGCTGCTGCCTTCTTACATGTTTTGTCTCAAGTTCAGAGTACTAACTTACGTCTTATTTTTTTAATTAGGAAAAGATGGCATCTCTTTCCTCCAGAAGATACTCCTTTCCTTTATCCAACTAGAATCCCTTATGAAGAATCTAGTGTGTTCAGTAAAATCAATGTTGTCAATCCTGATTTAAAGCAATTTCCTCAGTTCCGGAAAGCTCAAAGACATATGGTTACGCTGAGCCCAGGACAGGTAATGGGGCTTTAAAACATTAATAACCTGTCAGTGGATACCACAGCTGTAACTCTCTCAAGTGCTTGTACTATGTGCTCCCCTCTCCCCCGCCCCCCCAAAACAAATGAGAATGGTTTCTTTCCCTCTGCTTTGCTACTGGAAGGTAGCTTCGCCAGCTGTAGGCTTCAGACGTACACATCTGTGCTTCACAGGTCCTGGAAAGGAGATGGGAAAAGGGAACACAGCTCCTCCTACTGGTAAAGACGAGAATGGACTTTGGAGGAAGACAAGAGCCTACAAAGGCATTTTATTCAGGTTAAGAGAAAATGTTCAAGGCATGAGTACTTGAGCATCTCTGGAATGTATATTCATAGTTAATACCTGTTCGACTGTGAAGGAACCGAACCCATATTCATAAACATAGGTCAGAATGCGTCCAGGGCAACAGAAGCAGAAGGAGCTGAGAATTATTTGCTTTTAAACAAGAATGGATTTTGCTTTCTTAAATAACTTATTATGAGGCATTTCCAAAGGTGTTATACTTAGTGGGGAAAATTCCTTTTTATAACATTGGCACTTGCTGTCTGATATTTTATTAACAATTTGAAATATTTTCTTGGTCCCTTAAGTAGACTTTATTCCCTAGATTATCCCCCTCCTCTGCCTGTCTTCCTTCCGTTGTGCCTTCTCACTGGCTCTTTTCCTACTTTGTTCCCACGCAAGTACTGCCGACTCAGATAACTGCACTTGACCCAGTTGCCTTAGCGCATTAGCAGTCACTCCCCAACCCCCAGCAACCACTATTCTATCTTCTATCCCTATAGATTTGCCTATTCTGGACATAAGTGCCACATTACAATACGTTGCCTTTTGTGTCTGATTTCTTTCACATAACATAATGTTTTTAAGGGTCATCTTTGTTGTAGAATGTTATGCATTTCTTTTTATGGCTGAATAATGTTCCATTGTATGGCTATACCACATTGTGTTTATCCATTCATCAGCTGATGGACACTTGGGTTTCCACTTTTTCACTATTATGAATAATGCTGCTATGAACATTCATGTACTAGTTTTATATGAACTTATGTTTTTAGTTTTCTTGGGTATAAACCTAGGAAAGGAATTGCTGGGCCATATAGTAACTCCGTATTTAACCTTTTGAGGAACTGCCACACTGTTTTCCATAGCAGCTATACCATTTTACGTTCCCACCAGCATCGTATGAGGGTTCCAGTTTCTTCACATACTCCACAACAACTTATTTTCCTTTTGTGTCGTTATTCTTACAGCCATTCTAGTGGGTGTGTACTGGTTGCCGATTCATTTTCTATTGTCTTTAATATCCAAATTTGAATAAGTAGTTTTGTCTGTTGTATCTGTTTTCCTTACATCTTATCTGTTCCTTGATTCACCCATAACCCGGCTCTTTCTCACCACTTCACTGAAACTATACTGTGTGATAGGACATCCATGACCTGCTAATGACTAAATCCAGTGGCCCGTTAGTTCCCAGCTATCCTAAAAGAAACTCTCCCCTCATCTCCCAGTCCTGCCTTGTTCATAGCAAGTGCCACTGGTTTCCTAAATCTAAAGCCCATAAACTTCAGATCAGCTCCATTTGCTCTCCTTAGCTTTCCATGGGAAATCTGGTACTAACTCTGGATGCGTGCCATCCTTCTTGATTCTGGCTGTTGCTTTTGTTTAGTATACCTTCCTGTTCAGATCTTGACATTGAGTAAGTGGCCCATTGCAAGCATCTCCTGTCCATCCCAGAGTCTCTCTTAATATCACTATTTTAACCATCCCTCTACTCAGAATTTCTCAGCAACTCCTAATGCCTACAAGATAAAATCCATATTCTTTATTCTGAATTCAGGGTCCTACATTGGCCCTACCCTATTTCTCCCACCTTACCTCCCGTTACTCCCTCTGCAGTAGTAAGACTGACCTACTTGCTATCCCTCAACAGTCCTACCTCCTCTGTATGTGCCACTTCTCCTGCCTGGCATGTCCGCATTCTTCTCTGCCTAAATTCTCGCCTAACCCTGGTTCAAACCACACTTCCTCCTGCCCCTGACCTCCCTAGTTCATGCCTGCTTCTCCCACTGAAGTTCTCAAGCAGCAAATATCCTCTAATTACCACCTATATAATGCCACCTTTCTACACATTATCTTCTCATTGGCTGGATTTTGGACTGTGAGAGGACAGAAACTATATCCTATATTTTATACCCTTTCTCAGAACGCATGCAACTGTTCTGTGTTGGAAAGGAGGAAAAATCAGAATCTCAGAATCAAGTGCTAAGATTTATATGTGGATAGAGAAGGCCCAGAATTAAGGAGAGTTGAGAAGCTGGCAGTATCCTTCGCAGAACATGCAAACTGGTCAATAAAAAAAAAAGGAATAAAAAGAAAAAGGATTGTGGGGTTTTTTTTTTTTTTCTTCTTTCCCTTTCCTTCCCTTCAGCAATATTACTGTGAATTTGTCTGTATTCCTTTCTTTGTCCTAGCACCCTCAGTTAGGGTCTGATTCTGACATAAAAATGAAATGTCCTATTCTTGTGCTAACCATTTTTTCTTTGGTTTTCAGGTTCTGTTTGTTCCCAGACACTGGTGGCATTATGTAGAATCCATTGATCCCGTCACTGTCAGTATAAACTCATGGATTGAGCTGGTACTTTTTAATTTTTTTTGACTAAGTATAATCCCTGTTTTTAAAAAATATAAAAGATACTCTATACAACTTGGTGATTAATTTTTTTAAGTAACACTCCAGCATTTCTTGTTGCGGTGTGCTGTAATTTATGTATTCTATCTCCTCTGTTGATGGATGTTTAGGTTGAAAATCGGAATTTTAGTGATGTGCTGCTCTCTCTCTTCTAGGGACACACAGTGGGCCCTGATGTTGGAGTGCAGGGTCCTCTCCCTTGTTTTAGGAAAATTGTCTTGGGCCTGGCTGTCCCACATTGCTAGTCCCATCCCACACCATCTGGGCAGGAAATATCCGCTTCTTGGTTCAGAGTCGTTACTAATTGCAGAATTCTCAGTCTTGGCTTCTACATTTTCTCAAAGCAGAGTCTTTCAGTGCTTTTATCATTTTATTTCTGCCAGAGGCCTTTTCCCTCCAATATGCTATGCTTAATCCTCGTCCCTGCTCTATTTGACAATTACAGTAGCTTCCCAACCTGAGGCCTTCATTACATCTGTGCTCTCTTTAACCAGAGGCCTCGACTACGTCTCTGCTCCCCTGACCCGAAGCCTGCGTTGCATCCCTCTGCTCTCTTTGGCAGCCACATCCGACCCCCAGTCTGGTTTTTCCTATCCGTTGGTAATGCGAAGGGCTTTGGAGTCAGGGGAACATAAGGAATACGGTAACAGGAATTTGTATTGCTGTGACTTAGAGAAGAGAGGAGGTATAGCCCTTCAGACTATGGTGAGAGATGTGGCAAGAGATCAGCACCCTCACTGTGAGGAACTGGGCTTGTAGCACGCTGAGCTGGAGTGGAACAGATGTCAGGGTAGAGTCCATGGAGTCCACTTCCACTCCCAATGCCAGAATCACAGCTGCAACAGTCCTGTCTTATGTTTCGCCTCCTAAAGCTCATTCATTATCAAACAGTGGAGCTGTCATCTTTTTATTAATAAAATATTTGAATTCACCCTCCAGGTGTTTCCGTAATCTTTTCTTCTTCCAACCTCAAAACCTCTGCTTTGTTTAACGACATGTTTTTATATGACTTTTTTTCCCCAGAGTCATTAGCATTCTGGTCATAGACATTGGAATCAGGCAGCTTTGCGTTACAGGTTACCTTTGTTAGCTGTCTAACCTAGATGGTTACTTAATCTGTTCAAGCCTCATTTTCCTTACTTGTAAAATGAGGATTATATTATAATAACTTTTTTTTGAGACACTCTGTTGCCTGGGGTAGAGTAGAGTGGTGTCTTCATAGCTCACTGCAACCTCAAATGCCTGGGCTTAGCGATCCTCCTGCTTCAGCCTCCTGAGTAGCTGGGACTACAGGTGCGAGCCACCGTGTCCAGCTAATTTTTCTATTAATATTTTTTATAGAGATAGGGTCTTGGTATGTTGCTCAGGCTGCTCTTGAACTCCTGGCTTCAAGCAGTCCTCCCAAAGTGCTAGGATTATAGGCATGAGCCACCACATCTGGCCTGAGGATTATAATTGAATCCATCTCAGTAGGGTATTGTGAAGCTTAAATGTGGCAACATATATAAAAGCATGTATTAATTTTAAATATTAGTGCTTGACATATGGGAAGTGTTTAAAAAGTAGAAATTGCTATGAGGAGGAGGAAGAGAGCTATTATGTCAAGAATAGCACTCAATAGATAGCTCCTAGAACTGAATACCAGTGGGCCGCATTTATATAAGAGAGTATAAGATTTCTACCTCACATGACTTAAATCCTCAAGTTTTTCAGTGCTGCTTGTAATATTGCATTAGCTTTTTTAGTAATCTTATCTCACTTTAGTTTCGTATTTAGCCCTAAAATGTCCATGCTGCTTTTCACATGATCCGCTGTCATGTCAGGTTGTCCCCTATCCTGTACTATCCTGTAAAGCTGATTTTAAGTCTAAATCCAGTACTTCACAGTCGTCCCTATTAATTTTCAACATGTTGCTTTGGTTGAGCATTCCCGCTTACCAAGATAATTTGAATTTGGGTCTCATCTGTGCTTTCAGTGAAACTCCTTCAAGCAGGCCTGTGCCCTTTTGATATGCCCCCATTAATGAATCTTTGAGTGTATCCTTGCTTTCTGACACAAGAAGATATCCCAGGATCCCCTTATACTTTTCCTGCTCCAAACCTGGAAGCCAGTCATTTCTCCAGGTAGCCATGGTTACTTTTAGTGGGGAATGGTCTTTAGAAACTGAGATCTGGGCTCTAAGGCTGTTCATTGCCATTGAGCTGTCTTTGTTTCTAAGCCCTTTGAGTGATGCAGCTAGACTGTGACATAAACAAATACTGATACATTCCTAATTGAAGCTTAACATTATAGGATTCGTTTCTTATTTGTTTCTGTATTTTTATCTCT